CTCAAATTATTATTTCAGTCGTTCTTAATGTATCAAGCATCTATATGCAAAGACAAAAACTAATGGTTTCTATCATTAAATGAAGATATAGCCTAAAGATGCTTTGCAGGATTTACAGCATAACCAGGTTTCATTCACCCGGGCCCCTGTGCAGTTGCCCCCCACCCTTGTCGGCGGGCCTGTATATATATATATATATGTATAAAAGAAGATTTTAGTAAATATATTAGACATGAAACCCGATAAATTATGTTTTTTTCATCAGCTCTCATACTTCAAAATCTTAAAGGTTACCATGTACAGCGTATCATGAAAGCTCACGATTCACACAGTTTCAAGCTATCCATTCATCTAACATCCTTTTTTTTTGTGAACATGACCCAAGTTCTGTGGAAATCAAAGCATTTTTTAATAAAACCTGCTCAAGTAAAAAATGATTCTACTTATTCAGTAACAATGTTAATAAACTACCATCAAGTTCACTGTATGTGGCGATTTCTTCCTAAGTTTGTTTATATTTAGTCTTGAGAGCAGGCATTCATTTATTATGTAAAACAAAGTTTACTTAACAAAAAAAGGTACCATTACATTCTGTTTTACTTTAACATTAGTTTTATTATATTTAATTATAATTAATGACTTATTAGATCTTGTTCAAAAATCTCTGCAAAATAAACAGATACTGTCATTTATTGTTAAATTCAAGGCCTATTCAATGAAATTTGTTCATCAAAAATTATAACATAGTGGAGAATATTGGATACTACCAGGTTCATCAATTAGCCCATTTTGTCCTTCTTTATTAGTATCCAAACAAAATACTATATGCAATTCCTAGTCACTGAAATCCCCGAGAACCTTTAAAGTAATAGATTTAACCTTTACACTTGCCGTAAGACATTAGTATTAGGCCTATTACATTTTACATAATAATAGCCCACTCCGATGTAGCACTTCCTCAATTATAGAAAGTAGTGTTTAAAATGTAATAGGCTTAACACTAATGTTTTAAGACAATTATTGTAATCATTATTCACCAGCTTGGAAAAGGTGTACAAACCCTAACAATATTTAATCTGCTTGAATACTAGACAAAAGTAAGTAAAAGTAAAAAATAGTTCAGATCTTAGGATTTAAAAATGATGAAATTAAAGTAGTTAAAATTGAAACTGAAAAGCAATAGCATAACTGTGCATGTTGTAAACTACTCCTTTTCCTTTACCAAATTTAATTAGAAAATATAAAATCCCTCAATTAATAACATTCATAATTTAGAAGAACATGTGTTGTTCACTACACCTAACAATTTTCTGGCAAACTTCATTTTTTGTAAACAACAATAGGAAGAACAAAACCTGTATCAGTGAACCAATAACTATAATCATGAATTTTGATTTCTCTTTATCACTGATGAAACTGGATTAGCTGAGTGCTAACAGTCCTCTTTGCTTTCAAAAGTTCCAATAGGCATTCAAAAAACAAAACATAATGTACAGAAAAGAAGATTTTGCAGATTAACTGTATAAAATGGGATGTAATAGATAACAGTATCATCATACATTAACAGTCTGTATTAAAAGATGACTGCTTAATGCTGAGCATAGTAGCTTCATAAAATATCAGTCTCTTATAGCAGTAATACAAGTTCACTGTCCTTGGTACTATATTGGCTGGATAAGAAAAATTACAGTAATCCCAAATCCTGTCCAGTTAACGGTTTCTTTAATGAAGATATTGAAATAATTTGACTAAGATCACCTAATAAACAAGTTCAGACTGAAACAATTGTCGTTCAAGCAATTTAATAACATAAATAGCATCACAACCATTACAATGTCTTTTGCACCCCAGTCGGCCTAAAAAGCCTTTCTATTGGGCAAAAGACACTGTATAACAAGTATAGTGTGTTTGATATCATATTAAACACCCTCCTTCACTTTCATTCAGAAGTTCTTATACAATAGAAGGTAAATCAGCAGGTTCCCCTCACCGTTAGGAATCAAAATCAAAAAATTAATGTAGCCCTCATGATAGTTTAAAACAATTAAAATAATCACATACACATATCACAACCAGGCAGACAATTCCTTGAGTTTGACACAAACAAAAAATACAGATTTGTCAAAGAACAAATCCACATGTGGTATTCCAAAGTTTAAATCAATAAGCTCCAATATTCAAGTTTATAATTTTAACCTTTTCATTCCATTACACAAACAATCACTAACAAAAAGATTGAGATCCCCTAACAATTTTAAAGAACCGAGGTAGGTCACTTCCAATACTTCAACAATGCAGAAATCAATTTATTCCCATTTCATCTACCCTTAACATAATCATACACCAAATTAAATGTTTTATATTTTTTTTCCATAAACTTGGTATGCCATTTTATTGAAAAAACTAAAGCAGTATTATAATTTCTTGAGAACAAGCTAGCTTATTTTATGTGATATATTTATAGCGTATATGTGCATTTACATAACAAATACCGATGTGTGAATGTTTTAAGTCTATTGTATCGTACTGTAAATGGTATAAACACAAAAATGCTTTGTTTCTAAAGCTGTGCCAAAGTGATTTTTGTATCTAAACCTTGTTCTATATTTGATAACTTGATGATTGTATTTTTGGCCAATGGGAGTTGATGAACTGGGATGTTACCCCAGAAAACACAAGTCCAAAATGTTTAATTCTCCCTTTGCAGTTTACAGTTCTTAAACCACCATCATTCTAGCAGTCCACCTATGCATTAATTTTTTTATTTTTACTGAATATATGTACAAAAAACATCACATAGCATTTCAAACAAAGTCTCAGTACAGTTTTATACAGGGCTGCAAATAAACTTTTTGCTTTTAAATTCAAAATACTTATAAAGAGAACCAAGAACACTATTTACTCTTATCACAACAGTTAAACACTCAGCATGAAGATTCATGATTTTCTTAACCCTTTCTTGATGGGTCAGTCTTCCTAGTCTACAGTTCTTTCTGGATTAGCTATATGTTTAACTAAAGGATATAACTGAATTCCATTTAATTCTAAAAGTATTAATGCTAAATACAAGTTTGATACATATGGAGTTAATGAAAACATAAAAAGAGGATCAGAAAATTAAAAAGTGGACATGTTACTCGTGAAGTCAGTCAAGTTTTTTTACGGATTTTTTTATATGCAACAGACTAGTAAATGTTTACTAAAAGCTCGTCAAATTTTGTATGGTACCAAACTCGGAGCTCTAGTATGTAAAGCGTCATGATTTTTCAAGGTCAGTCAGAACTTCTAATTTTTTATTCCTCTTCTCTTTCCTGGTGTCCCTTATAAACAACCAGTAACCACTACATCTATCTATATACAGTTGGGTCTTTCCTAATATACTGTCATCAGCAAAGATTGTTGTTTTTCACTCTCTCAAATAGGAGAAGAAAAGTTTAAAATTCATCATATCTAGAGTTAAGGTAATGACACCAGTAACATGTCAGCTCTGACAATGCAAAATAGAAACCAATTTTAAATCTGTAAAAAAAACTATCAAACATACAATTGTGCTTTGGGAGAGAGAGAATTAAATGGTCTCCTTTTCAACAGTGCACTATTAACAGTGCAGTGTCACATGGAATCAGAGGCAAGTACTTACTAGAATTCCATTTTAATACCAACAATGTAAACTTAAAATACAGTAGTTACCTCTAAACGGCTGTCTGGATAAAAACTGCTGCACTTTTTTAAGAGAAGAGAGCCTGGAAGAAAATAGGAAACAGCACCCATGTCAAGGGAAAAAACAAAAACTGCTCCAAGAACAGCCAGCATGTACTAATAAATATAGCTGTAGAATGTCCCACGAACAGCCAGCATGTACTAACAAGTACAGCTGTGGAATGTTCCATGAACAGCCAGTATGTACCAACTAGTACAGCTGTGGAATGTTCCATGAACAGCCAGTATGTACCAACAAGTACAGCTGTGGAATGTTCCATGAACGGCCAGTATGTACCAACAAGTACAGCTGTGGAATGTTCCATGAACAGCCAGTATATACCAACAAGTGCAGCTTCAGAATGTTCCATGAACAGCCAACAAGAAGAGTCACATTATCCAGAAACGGTTAGTAAATAGGAACAAAATCCTTAATAAAATAGAAGTCATACAAACTGGTAGATAATTGCAACAGGTGATTTCCCAATGGAAATCCTATCTATGATAGAAGGGTGTAAGGTGATAACCCCCTAAAGAGAAAATCATGGAAAACATCACAGATACTGAAGGCAGACTTTCTACTAACTTGACAAACAACAACAACAGGAAGTGTGGGACTTCTTGGGCATCAATTTTGGAAATCCGATTCAAAAACTCTAAGGTTGCAGAACACTATACCATACGATAAATGTCTCTGTAATCATGAAACTTATGTCACACTGCAAGTTCAAAACTGGAGATTTATTTACCGTTTCTCTTGTTTATCCGTGTGTCTGCAATATTATTAAGCACCTGATAAGCACCAATGTATTCT